GGCGTGCGGTCCCTCGGGCTGTAGCCCTCGGTCGGCAAATTCACTTTGATTTACGTAAGGAGATCAGAGCCTCATTTACTAATGCACTGGCAAATCGGTCGCTGGCACACAAGTGCCCACCTGAGCTGCTGGGACGGGGCGGGCAGGACCACGGGATGATGCCTGCAGGGTGATGCCACTGGCACATCCCAGGCATCACGATGCTGAGCTGGGTGTGCACACAGCAGCCCCGTTCCCTTCCTTGGACCCACAAATCCTCCCAGCCTGCCCGCAGCTCCTCCGTGGCCACCGCGGGATGGTCCCTGCTGCAGGATGTCACACCTGCCACACTGGGGCTTTTTTTGGACGCTACTACCTTTTTGGACCCTTTCGGACCCAGGCAGGAGCTCAGGGGTCATTAAACCCCAGGAAGAGCTGCCTGGGATGGGAGGTGAGCAGGGATGTACTGGCCTTTCCCTCCTCCTCCTCGCAAGAGAATTGCTCACTGATGATTCCCGTCCCCCTCAAACCTCACTCGGGGCCCGGGGCTGTCACAATTTGGAGGTCTCCATCCCCACTCTGCCAGAGACAGAGGCAGGAGGGAGGCAGCCGGCTCACTCCTATTTCCATGCCCTTACCTGTGGGTTTCCTGCCAGCAGCTGGGTCACCAGCCACAACAGCACAGCCGGGCTGGCACGGCCACACACCGGCTGAGAAGCCAACAGGCTGTTACGGCTCTATCAAGACTGGGTCCCCCATAGGGCCCATCAGGCTGTCCCCTCTCCTGCTCAGCTCCCCTCCAAGGGACGATGGGGACAGGGAGGGCATCTGCACCCCTGCACAGCCCAGGAGGCTGAAGCAATTCTCTCCCCACTCTGAAACCGCTCCATTTCCACGTGCAGCAGTAATTAAAAGCGTGGAAAAGGAGCATCTGGGCCCCCCGGCTCTGTGTGCCAAGATGTGCCTGAGCGTAGGGATGTGAGCACGTGCGGAGAGTGCGGGGGGAACTGATGGATCATCAAAAACAGGAGGAAAAAGCCCAGCCAGGCTGCTGCACACGAGGAAAGGACAAGCGATGCCTCGCGGGGGGTTAGGAGGAGGTGAGGGAAGATGTCCCCACGTGAACGCCGCACCGCCGCTCACCTTGTCCCTGCTGAAATGGCAGGGAGCAAAGCGTGAGCCTGGGGGGAAAAAAAAATCCTACTGCTACACCGCCAAAATTAAGAACCAAACGACTTAATAGGTTTTTGGCACATCAATAAATCTTGTTATGCCTTACAGCCAGGGCTGAAAGCGCACGGATTAGATCAGCGATCTTCCGCCAGCCCCCTTCCTGCAATCCCAGCTCCAGAGCCTCCAGCAGGAATCCCTGCCGGCAAACCCACCGGGAGATGCCCTGGGATGCAGCCTTCCCGGGGGGACCCACCGCATTTTGTGTCATCCCTCTCCCGAGACTAAGCCACCCCAGGCTTCACCAGCCTTTCCTCTCCTTCCTTCCCTCCCTCCCATCGGGTTTCACAGAGCCTCTGGCAGCCACCACAGGACTGTCCCCATCCAGGTCACCTTTTGGGGTGATCACCACCTCCCTTTAGGGGTCTACCCCTGCCATGGGGTACCTGGGAAGGTTCCCAGGACTGATGGCTGGAGCCATGTGGGATAGAGAGGCACAGGCAACCCGCCGTCAAGATTTGGGGTGTCTTCTCATACAGAGGGGGTGCAAAGGCAAACCGGGGAGGGTGGCCACAGGCAACCATCACTGCACGGCCGTGGTGTGACCCCAAGGCTCGGCCGGCCAGGCTGTGGCTGTCACCAGTTCAGCACAGGCAGCGTGTCACGGGAGACTGGAGCCAGGGCAGCCGCAGTCCAGCCCACCTGCGACACGCTGCCCTATTTCCTGAGCCTGCAGGGCTTAGAAGTGCTATGTCTCCCCTGCAGAGCACCCTTGGGACCCTCGGGTCCCCAGCAGGGTGAAAGGGAACGTTTTTTGGCAACGTGGCACTTGTCTTCCTTATCAGTGTGTGTGTGAGCCTTGACCCAGCATCGCTGCAGGCTCCCCAGGCGCACACAAGAGCCTGCTCCAGCCCTCGTGAGCTTCACCCTCCTCCACCCCAAACCTCCTTGTGGTCACCAGAAACCCCAGGAGAGGGGCCAGGGCAGCTCACGGGTGACACAGCCCCTTGGGGAAGGGGGAAGAGTGTGACCAGAGAGCAGCTAAAGGCCTGATGCTCCCCACGGTTCAAACTGATGGGCCAGGCACTGTCCCACTGTGCAGCGCCTGGTCCTCGTGCACACAGGGGTTTGAGTGTGCAAGGGCTTTTTTTTTTCTTGAGCACATCTGCTGCTTGCACGTGTGTTTCTTAGCTCGGTTGTATGACCCCACTTGTGGGAATCTGTTTTCCTGGGGGCTGCAGAGGGGTTTCAGGGTGGCTCTGTCCCTCCCTTTGGCTGCATTGGGCTGTGCGTCCCCCTCTCCCCGCACACGCCTGGCGTGCCTCTGAGTTTGCTTTTGTGCACGCGTGTGCATCACCCTGGCAGCTCACAGGGGCTTCCTCCAGTCTGCAGCTCCTTCCCTTCACTCGTGCATGTGTTTATTTCCCTTCCCCTATCTTTCTATCACTGTTCACATCTCCATCCGTTACAATAACCTTCTCTCCCAGTCTCATTTCTCAGCCCGTGACCTTAGTGGCTTGCAATTTTAACCCCACAGCCTGCTGCTACTGCACCCCCATGGCTGCAGTGAGGGGGCAGAAGGGCAAAACTGGGGAGAGGGACCTCATGGGGTGCTGCCTGACCCCCCTCCCAGCTGCACACTCTGGGAGAGAGAGGAGAGGGCAACAGGGAACCAAAGGGGAAGATGAGGAGGTTGAGGACTCGCAGGAGGCTCCTTGCAGGTGGCTCTGGCCTCTGGCAGACCTCAGGGAACAACACAACCCCCAGAAAAGTTGTGAGTTTCCCTCAGGGAAACCAGACAACTTCCCTCCAGCAGCTCTCGTACGCCCAAACTACTGCTCCGACCACATCCCGCAAATTCTGCCAAGGTCCATGAGGCTGCTGAGCCCACATCAGCCCAAATAAATCAACACACACACGCGCCCTGAGATGTGCCCGATCCCAGGCATCACCCTAGAGCCTTTGGTGCCAATGGCTTGTGGCCAGGCCAGGACTCAGCCCACCAGGTACTTGCTGCACGGATGCTACAGAGTGGGGACAGAGGGTCAACATCTCCAGTACCAGCAGCCTGATGCCACAGTGATGGGCACAGTGAGTGGCTCTGGCTGCCCCCTTCTCTATAGCTCCTACAAACCCATGGAGATGGCGGGGGGGTTGCTGCGGTCACGGCAAGCGGCACCGTGCTTTACTTTGTGAGATGTTCCCGTTCATAATGGGATGAATCCCATTCATGGGATTTACCTTTCTGCTAAAGGGCAGGATCCCCTTTTTACCCTCAAGGAACTGCCAACCTGCTGCCCTCGCTCCAGCAGAGGCCTTGGTGGGTGCTACGGGACGAGCGAGGTGCCCTACCTGGGTGCAGGCTGTGGGGAAAGCAGGGCAGCCCTGGCCCCACGGGACCACCCTGCTGGAGAGAAGAGAGGGGCGCTGGGCAGAGACCTCGGGGAAGAGTGGGGCGAGGACAACCTTCCTGAAGCCTCACCACGGGAATGAGCTGGGTTTGGGATTCAGGTGGCAGGAGGCCTGGGGAATGGGGTGTGTGGAGCATCCTTCCCCAAGGAGCATCCCACCCCAGACCCCTGGGAGTGTCCCACTCCCGATTCCCGGGAGCATCCCCTTCCCCTGACCCCCGGGGAGCGTCCCCTTCCCCTGACCCCTGGGGAGCGTCCCTCGCACCTCTATCCGGTCGATGCGGTCCTGGAGGGCGCGGACGGCCTCCTCCAGCTCCCGCACGGCGGGCGGTTCGGCGGGGGGGTGCCCCATGGTGCCGGGGCGCGGGGCGGCGCGGAGCCCGGCGGCGGGGGGAGCGGCGGCGGCGGCGGGGGGGTTCCGCAGGCCGCCCTCGCAGCGGCTGAGCTTGCCGGTGAGCTCCCGGATGGTCTCCTGGTCCATGCGGATCCGCTCCTTCTGCTCCAGCGCCGTGCGGCGCAGCTGGGCCGCCGCGCTCCGCAGCGCCAGCAGCTCCTCCGGGCCGGGGCCGGTGGACGGGCCGGGGCCGGTGCCGGTGGCCGGGCACTCGGCGCTCAGCGGGGTGCAGACGAAGCGGCTGAAGAGGGGGGGCTGCGGGCCCCCCGGCAGGCGCGGCCCGGCGCTGGCC